ATTTACAATTGCATCAAAAATAATAAGGTACCTAGGAATAAACCTAACTAAAGAGGTGAAAGACCTCTACTCTGAAAACTATAAAACACTGATGAAAGAAACTGAAGATGACACAAAGAAATGGAAAGACATTTCATACTTATGGACTGGAAGAACAAATATTGTTAAAAAGGCCATACTAGGGGTGCCTGCGTGGCTCAGTTGGTTGAGCCTCTGCCTTCAGCTCGGGTCATGGTCCCTGGGTCCTGGGATCGAGCCCCGTGTCGGGCTCCCTGCTCGGCAGGAAGCCTGCTTCTCCCTCTCCCACTCCCCCTACTTGTGTTCCCTTTCTTGCTGTGTCTCTCTCTGTCAAATAAATAAATAAAATCTTTAAAAAAAAAAAAAAAAGGCTATACTACCCAAAGCAATCTATAGATTTAAAGCAATCCCTATCAAAATACCAACAGCATTTTTCACAGAACTAGAACAAACAATCCCAAAATTTGCCTGGAATCACAAAAGACCCTGAATAGCCAAAACAATCTGGAGAAAGAAAAGCAAAGCAGGAGGCATCATAATTCCAGACTTCAAGTTATATTACAAAGCTGTAGTAATCAAAAACAGTATGGTACTGGCACAAACATAGACACATAAGTCAATAGAACAGAATGGGAAACCCAGAAATAAATCCACAATTATATAGTCAGTTGATCTTTGACAAGGCAGGAAAGAACATCCAATGGGGAAAAAACAGTCTCTCAACAAATGGTGTTGGGAAAACTAGACAGCAACATACAAAAGAATGAAACTGGGCCACTTTCTTACACCATACACAAAAGTAAGTTCAAAATGGATCAAAGACCTAAATGTGGGACAGGGAACCATAGAACACAGGCAATAACTTCTTTGACATCAACCATAGCAACTTCTTTCTAGATATGTCTCCTTTTTCTAGATATGTCTAGATATGTCTCCTCCTAGATATGTTCCCAAGGGAAACAAAAGCAAAAATAAACTATTGGGGCTACATCAAAATAAAAGGCTTCTGCACACAGAAGGAAACAACAAAACTAAAAGGCAACCTATGGAATGGGAGAAGACATTTGCAAATGACATACCTGATAAAGGGTTAGTACCCAAAATATATAAAGAACTTGTACAACTCAACAACCCCAAAACAAATAATCCAATAAAAAATGGGCAGAAGACCTGAGCAGATATTTTTCCAAAGAAGACATCCAGATGGCCAACAGACACATGAAAAGATGCTCAACATCACTATCATCAGGGAAATGCAAATGAAAACTACTATAAGATATCACCTCACAACTGTCAGAATGGCTAAAATCAACAACACAAGAAACAACAGGTGTTGGATGGATGTGTAGAAAAAGGAACCCACCTGCACTGTTGATGGCAATGCAAACTGGTACAGCCACTCTAGGAAATGGTATTGAGATTCCTCAAAAAGTTAAAAGTAAAACTCTTATGATCCAGTAATAGCACTACTGGGTATTTACCCAAAGAACACAAGAACACTAATTCAAAGGGACACATGCCCCCCTAAGTTTATAGAAGTATTATTTGCAATAGCCAAGATTTGGAAGCAGCCCAAGTGCCCATCAATTGGTGAATGGATAAAAAAGATGTGATTTTATATTCATATATATATATATGATTGATATATATATGCATATATACATATATACATATATATGTATATTTATGTGTGTATATATATACATAGCAATTCTCAGAGAAAGACAAATACCATATGATTTCACTCCTATGTTGAATTTAAGAAATAAAACAAGCAAAGGGAAAATAAGAGAGAGAGAGAGACAAATCAGGAAACAGACTCTTAATTATAGAGAACAAACTGCTGGTTACCAGAGGGGAGGTGGATGGGAGGATGGGTGAAATAGGTGATGGGGATTAAGAATACATTTATCACAATGAGCACTGAGTGATGTATGGAATTGTTGAATCACTATATTGTACACCTGAAACTAATATAACACTGTATGTTAACTATGCTGGAATTAACATAAAAACTTAAGAAAATAAAAAGGTAATAAAAGGAGAAATATTAAAAAATAAAAATAGTATATTAATAACTAATAATGTATCAATCCACAAGAACTTTATAAAGTTATGTATATGTTTTGGTAGTAACTTAATAATACTCTTATGTTATTAAATAAAAGGTTTGTGATCATAAAAGTATCTTAAGCTTTTATTTTTTTATTTTTAAATGTCTTATTTATAATATACTGATTATCTTTACAACATCCTTTGCAACTATTTAAATTTATGATGAAATATGTTAGATGTAAACTTTAAAATATGCAAGAGGTATGTAGTTTTTTAAAAGCAAATTTTCAGGGTACATACCTAAAAACATTGACTTAAAATTCTGGAGGGAAGGGATGCCTGGGTGGCTCAGTCAGTTAAGCATCTGCCTTTGGCTCAGGTCATAATCCCAGGGTCCTGGGATGGGCCCTCAAAGTGCTCCCTGCTCAGTGGGGCGCTTGCTTCTCCCTCTGCCTACACTCTGCTGCTTGTGCTCTCTCTCTCTCTGACAAATAAATAAAATCTTTTAAAAAATTCTGGAGGGAATATATGGATTGAGTCCTTACTTCATGACTGCTACTAAATAAAGTAGTGGATTCTTTTCTCCCTAACTTCACCTTTTCTCACTAACCTCCATTCTATACTGAGTACTGTGTACCCCTTGGAAAAATAAAAATGGCTCTGGTTTTGAGATCCTATGAGATCTCAGCTAAAACCTCAACCATTTGAAAAGTCTAGTAAATAGAGAATGGAAATTTGGCCACCCTGGGTTTTAGGAAATTCTGCTTTATATGGGTGAAAAGAAGTAGTCCGTTCACAATCTTGGCAGTAAGCTTAATTCCCTAGAAATTTAAGGTTCCAGATAGAAAATTACAACTGTAGAACTCATTCATTTTAAGAAGACAAAATACAGAAGGCATCTATTTAAATTAATGTGTTAGACCATGTCAAGCTTACTTAGGAGAAAGGTGGATATATCTGACAATGGTGCACAATGCAAAGCCAGATGTTCATACTTTTCAGAAAAAAAATATATTTCCAGTGTTAAATCTTATAAAAGTCTCTATTTTAAAATGCTTCAATATTTTCAATTATATTCTAATTCTTGTGTTTGAATTATTATTGATGAGAATTATTAATAATAAATAACAATATAAGCTGAATATCAGCAGTAAGAATGTTAATAAAAGATATTTAAAAACTTTTTAATGGCAAATGAAGTCAATCCTTTCATTATTTTCTGAATTGAAGGTTTAAAGAATGTAGCCACTCTATAGTATAATGACATGAGTTGACTTAATACTCACAGGCAAGTGACCGTAATGCCTTACTGTGTTAAATACAGATTTTGAAATTTTAAATCTAAATCAAATTCTTATTAATGCTGTTATTTCTAACTTAAAATAAATTGATCTAGGCATAATACTGAAAGTTACAGTTTTATATTTAAGTGGTTAAGAACTACTTTCAGGGGGAATAATGGTATTCTAGTAACTCTTTCATGATTCTAATAAGTTATCTAAGTATTCTACATTTCACAAGTCTCAAAAGACAACCAGCACTACCAGTTTTTTTTCTTTTTGGAATCAGATATCCAAATATGTACCATTATGAAATTAAAATTTAAGATTATTCAATGAGTTGTCAATGATCAAAATAAAAGCATTTCTATTGGATTTTTTAAAATAACAAATCTTCAGTTCTTTGCAGGCTCAGAAACTTGGATCATGACATAAGATTTTATGAATATTGATTGGATATTGATTTCCTTTAATTCACTAGTTTTCCTGGAGAGTTTTCCAGATTCACAATCAATTGGGAAAAAAAAAGAATTGGAGTGCATTGGGACCCGAGGTGTTGGATGGGTCAACAGGGGGGATGGGTGGTCTCAGAGCACCATTGGTTTCAGTTAGGCATAAAGGAACTGAGTCTAGGAATATTATTTCTGTTCAATACTAATGCATGGGCGCCTGGGTGGCTCAGTTGGTTAAGCGACTGCCTTCGGCTCAGGTCATGATCCTGGAGTCCCGGGATCGAGTCCCACATCGGGCTACCTGCTCAGCAGGGAGTCTGCTTCTCCCCCTCCCGCTCCCCCCTCTTGTGCTCTTTCTCTCTCTCACTCTCTCTCTCAAATAAATAAATAAAATCTTAAAAAAAAAATACTAATGCATGGCTCTTAGAGGTGCAATTTGCCAGGGCCAATGGCACCACTGTGAGCAGAGATTTTCATACTTTAATAAGAATCACCTGCGGGTCTCATCAAATTAGATTTCATTTTGTATGCTTGAGTGTGAGGCCTGATAGTCTGCATTTCTAACAAGCTCCCTGGAGACAGTGATCCTGCTGGATCACTTTGAGTGGCAAAAATTCACAGCATTTATACTATTCTTCCAGTCTAGAAATGAGATGTTTGGCCAAGAGCTGGAGGCCATGACTTTCTCATCAAGTTAGCTGTTAAGCAGTTATAAGGATTTAAAAGATTATTTAACCTCTAAGGGACCCATTATCTCCTTCTGTAAAATTACAGGTCTGATCTAGGAGATGTGTCAGGTTATTTCAGAACGATAAAATTTAAGGATTTTAAGATAACACTTATTTTTATTTTGGCTGCTATGTTTTGTATTTTCCCTCATAAACAGTTAACAAAAATCAGAAAAAGTTTTCTCACACTGTATTACCCCCAAAGGTCACCAATGAGTTGTGCTTTGCATTCTTTGAGGCCAAGATGATAGCTATTTTTTAAAATGTCAATTTCCACATTCTTCCTCCATAATTCTTAGAACACTATTCAGATTTGAATTTTCTTTTAACTTTAAGGAAAAATCTTATGAATACTGAGTCTATGGATTAGTTACCTGTCGCCCAAATGAAAATGTATTTCCTATGATTTCACGTTTTTCAGAGAAACTGTAATATTCTTAAGTAGAGGGTAACCTTTAATTGGAGTCAATCTCATACACTGCACCCCTGCTAAGGGGCAATCACTAGTAACAGTTTCAAAATATATATAACAGGGAACAAATTCTTTCCCTTCTCTGACTAGATTTGGAGTCAGCTCCTTCCGGTTTATTTCCGTTATCAACTCACAACTTCAATGTAACTCTTGTCTGAACTATTGTACTAATCTACCAACTTGTGTTCCATCTCCAGTCTTTCCACTCCATAATTATTCCTATCAAGCCCTGCCAGATTTCAACAAAGTGCATGCCTCTTCTAGTCAAAATGCTGCAAAGGCCTTTATTCAACACCTTCATGCTATGGGGTTCCCACTACTTCCCTTCACCAGGTATTTTCTACCCTTCTCATATCTGTGCCTCTTTATACATCTCTTCTATCTGATATACCTTCTTCTATAAAACCCTACCAATTCTTTAAGACCTATGATAAACACCAATTCTTGCTTAAAATGTTCCCTGATTCTTCCAGCAAGAAGTTGAATTCATGTAACACCTTGCTTTTGACTCTTCTCAACATCTACTGCCCTATGTTACAATTTTTGTATGTGCTTCCTCTCACTCTCTACTATACAGTTCTTGGGAATCTGTAGTCTGTCTTCATTATTGTAACTCTCACAGTGCTTTTTCAATTCTCTGTATCTGTGGAAGAAATGAGTGAATGTATAATACAGCTTCACTATTATTCTATAGATCAAGATGCTCAGAAACTGTACAAGTTTTAAAATTATTCCTTGGTCTTAATTAGTATTTCTTTTGGATAAATTACTTAATCTCTGTGACACAGTATTCCTTATATATTTTGGGGTGGGTGTAAAGGATGTCCAGTAAATTTTTTTACTCACTTAATGGATATAAAACACTATGCTATATGAATGCTGGAGAACGAAATCCTTTGACTTTCTGGATCATGGTAAATATTGTCATAGGATATGTGTGTTTCAGATTCAACTACTGTGTTGTCAAGAAGGTTTTATGTGTGAATTAAGAATAAACCAAGATGACATAACTTATATTTAAGATTCTAAAGATGCAACCTCATTATATTGGCTTCACAATTTATCGCTATATAGGGTTAATATTTTCAAAAGGAAAAGTAGAATTTCTTCCTGAAGATACCATAGACACCACCTTAGGAATGCTGCTATTATTGTCTATCATGGCTTGGGGACCATAAAAGGTGTCTTGTGCAAGGTATAGCGCACATACCTATAATCATTGTAGGATTTGTGAACTTTGGGCACATATTAAATTGCTTTCCTGTGCTCCATTAAATACAACATGATGGTCAGGAATTTTCAGCTCCAGTGCACTAACCCTTTTGGGTTGCTAGGTTGCTCTATCAGTGCATTATAATAATCGTAAGAACCTTATAAGATAAAGCTTGAGAAAATTTGTTCCATAATCAAAGAAATTAGCTATAATTGATCTGTAATATTACAAAAACTTTTCAGACTGACAGAACATCAAAAAAATCTTAGTTTTACATCATTTTCTTTTTTTTTTTTTAAGATTTTATTTATTTATTTGACAGAGAGACACACAGCGAGAGAGGGAACACCAGCAGGGGGAGTGGGAGAGGGAGAAGCAGGTTTCCTGCTGAGCAGGGAGCCCGATGTGGGGCTCAATCCCAGGACCCTGGGATCATGACCTGAGCCGAAGGCAGATGCTCAACGACTGAGCCACCCAGGCTCCCCAGTTTTACATAATTTTCAACATCAATGCCTCTTCTAGTCAATTCCATTGCCAGGAAATATAACTTTTAAGTAATTCTGACTAAGTATAAATATGGTAATTTAATTCAATAAGACTTTCAAAAATTACTTGAGAAATCTATGTTAACTAAAGAATTCTCCCATCTTTGTCTATCAATAGTAGTTTAAGAAGAAAAAACAAATATGGTATAATTCTGTGAGGAGTATTTTCTGTGGTATTCTTTTCTTTTTGCACCTACCAATCCTTCCATTGAGGTCATGGAAAACATATATATAGAGAGAAATTAAAACTAATAGACTTAAATTAATATCCATTATATGCATTTGAGAGCTTTAGTGTTTTGCTATAGTAGTCACTACTTCCTTAACATTCCTGATACTGTTTCATGGTAGGAGTTAGCTCATCAGTGAGAAGATCAAGGAAAGTTTGTGTTATTAACCCCCCTCTTTACATACGCTAATGTGATTCTCTTTTCTTCGTCTTTCTTTAAAAGATACCAGCACATAGCTTAGATGGCACCATTCAAGTGGTCTAGTCTGAAACAAATGTAAATATTGTCTCTCTGTTATCCACGGAATTACCTTTCTAATATACTTGTGGAATATAACACAGCCATACTGCACATCCTGATTCTATTCTCAGAAAGATTATTTACATAATTACTCATTATAAAGCAAGAATGTAACAGCAAACCAAGAAACCAGGTTTTGCACTGATGGTCTTTACATCGCTTTAGAAAAGCTTATGTGTGACTTTCTTCACAAATTTAAATCTGTTCATATTTTGGGAAAAATATATCCCTATGGCTCCTGGGAAGATAGCTGAAATTGCGAGACTTGGAAAAACATGTATCATCTGATGACAAAGACTGCTGCCCCAAATATTCTTGTATACTTTTACTAAAGTTTTCACTAGCTTTTGCCATCTACCTTATGTCACCGGTACTTGCAATAAACATGCAAATGCCAGATCAGAAACACTGAGGTTCCCAAAGTGTGGCATGAGTACTACTGTCATTATACAAGATGATTTTCGGGGGTACATTAACATTTCATATTTTAATAGATACACATTTATTTTAGTGTATTAGAAAAAATACACCTAGCAAATCAAACTCATTACTCTACAGTTATTCTTTTTTGGGTCAAGTTTTCTTCTTATATAACTTTAAGTTTAAAAAGTGAGTGCATTTAAAGAAAATATTGGGTAAATACTATTTAGAGCTTCTGTCATGATGGAGGCTGGCCAATGTGATGAGTGGAAAAACGAGGTGGAAAGTTGGGGTCGGTTAAAAGTGGTCTGGTTTTAGCTGTCACTAATTAGCTGTGCTGCTTTAGCCAAGTCAGACTTCTTTGGGCATCTATTCCTTATTTGGAAAGAGATGGTTGGGGGTCACCATTCTATGATGTTTTGTTCTCTTTTCAAATGCCATTATAAGGAATACTGATCTCTGTAAAGCAAAATGCAACATTCTAAGACTTAACACAAGATGTACTCACTTCAACGAGTCAGGGAAATCAGCAGAACTAATGTGGAATTTATTTACGTATTTATTTATTTATTTATTCAGGAAAACACTCTACTGGTAGACTAGACTAATCCTTTGAAAGATTAGACATAAACCTGAATTTACTTAGTAGCTTTACTTTTTTTTTTTTTTTTTCAGATGGGAAGGATTCCCAGTACCTTTGGATTCTCTCATCAATATGACAGCCAAATAGAAGAGAGTTTTACGTGCCATATTTCACATGTGTTACTATATCCTCATCTGGGAGCAAGAAGCCTGGATGTCCCTGATAGAGTCAGATGAAGGATTTAAGTAAAGTCAGTCTTGAAAGAAAAATACATTTCAGTCTGACAAACTTTAGCTTAAGGTAAAGAGATGTGTTTTAAGAAACAGGAGGGGCCTGAAGATCTATAACTTAAAATAGTTGGTTTTGGTTGCTGGTTTTAATTTTTCACTCTAAAAATAGAAAATATGTTAACCAGTTGCCTATCTTGGGGAGTAATAAAATGCAAACCCCAAATTAGCACTATGTGACTATAGAACAGTCTTGAATTAGTTCTTTTCCCAATGGTTGAAGGATACAAGTTCAAATAAAAATCCAACAGTGATTACCAAAAAGCATTCAATGTAGAAAATCTCTACCAAGTAATATTTTCATGGTCAGCCAGGCTCTTTGTTTTTTGTTTGTTCATTTGTTTTTGTTTTTTTTTTTTTTAAATAATCTCTATAGTTTGAAAAGTAAACCACCTTTTCCTTGAATTGGAGTTGCTGTCCCTTTTCTTAGAAGGTCCCAGGTTCACAGGGAAGACTGCCTTCTTGAAGGGTACCTATCTTTACTTCTGGCCTAAAAAGAAATTGGATTAACCAATTAGATTGTGAGATGAAAAAGAGAAGGTTTCTATGAAGATGATGAATTCTGTGAATATTTGAACTAAACATTTTGGAAATTATCCCATTTAGGACTAAAGTACTTCCATTTTCTATTTGGAATATGAATTACATCTATTTAGCCTATTCAGCTCAACAAACAAAGGAACAAAAACAGACAGAACGAATACAATCTATTTTTTGTGGAAATATATCTGCTTGTAATGGTGCAAAAAAATAGCAAAGATGCCATGAGTGAAAAATTTTACCTGTGATCTCTAAAAGGGCATATTCATAGAACACATCTAAACATGCAATATAGAAGTATAGAAACTGGCCCTCTGGAATATCAGCAACGTCATTATCTGTGGCAATTTCAAAGGTCTCTTAGAAAATGTGGCTTCACAATTCCTAGTTTTTCCAATTATGCTATTAAAAATATCTATAACCGTGCATTCTTGATCTGTGATAATAATTTGGCCTTTGTCACCCTCAGTCACAGTGCATCTCTGGCCCACTGGGGAAGACCGAGTGTGCTGTGTGGAGCTGTTCCTGACCGGACCAATCACTGCTGGCTCAGTCTCCTCCGCAGAATGGCAGCCAGCCTTTGTCTGGTCTCATTTACTGATGATGCTCGACCCCTGGGAGGATGGGGTTGGGGCACAGTGGGCAAACCTGAGCTGCTGAGCCTCTGGGACTGAGCCAAGGTTGGGGAAGCAGTGGGTTTTGCCACTCCGTGCAGGCTGGGGATTTTGATTCCTTTTCCAGAGTTCAGTCTTGTAAGGCTTCTCTCTCCCTGATTACTGACCACGGCAGCAGAGGAGGTTAGGCTGCCCTGGTTAAGGGAACATGGTGACAAAGGTGAACTTCCACTGAGCTTCCTGAGCTCCAGAAGCTGTTCTCTGGCTTGACTCAAAGCCTCTGTCAGTTCAAAGCGTTCTTCGCACTCCCTTCGCACTGTTTCCTGAAGAAAAGTGTTCTGAAATGAGAAAGGAGTGGGGAAGCATCCCTAGCTTTACACTGTACATATGGAAAGTCACTGGCAATATAAATGGAGAATTAAACCAGAAATCAGAGGTCTTGTCTTTGACAGTCTTTGTGGATACTCTACCACATGGGTCAGACAAGTCAAAAAGACGAATGATTTGTGAAGTTGGAAAAAACTTTAAGAGGACATTTGATTCAACCCTTACAGTTTGCAGAATAGGAAACAAGAGCCAGGATCACTCAGATGGGTAGTGGGGGGCTGGGGCTGGAACCCAGAACTTCTAACGCCTACTTTAGTGGGGTTTCAGCTTGTTGGCACATGTGATGTCTAATAGTTAATATCTGTAGGGGCAAGTATGTTATTTTATAATAAAGGTAAATCGCAATATATAAGACAGATAAAATTGCTTGAATTATAAGACTGAAAGAATTAAACATATCAGCTATGACATTTAAACAGTAAAATCAGTTACTTTATATGATGCTTTCTCAGTAGAACTTAAATATACTGATCATTTGCCATTTTGTAAGATATATATCAAAATAAAGACCACCTTTGGCTTTTAATTCCATTCAGCAATCATTTATCAAGTCATTAGAAGCTGTAGTGGATACAATACCTGCCCTCAAGAAGTCTGCAGCCTCGTGAGTTTGAGCAGAGCCATTTTTTTATTTCTCTAACAGAATTTGGAGCCAAGGGTAGTAGCTATGGGGTTGAAGATAAGGAAGAACATTTTAACAGCCAGAGCTGTCCAGAGGATACTCTGAAGGGTTGACTCTCACTTGACTGGGATGTACTGGAGCAAATTTAAGCTTCAAATGTGTGACAAGACTAGAGATCACTAAGGCCCCTTCAAATTCTGAGACTCTACAGTTTCAGTTGAAGAGTTACCCATCTTTCATCTATGGTATTCATCCAAATTACTTCAAGGCCTATGGTAAGAATTAGTCTTGGATCCTTCTAACCTCCTGACATTCATGTGTGTAGGATATCAAAAAAGAGGTTGAAAAGTAAACAATTCAAGGGAGTACACAATTAAAATGATTGTGCCATAGGATTCTTCAGATAAAAATGAATTTCCATCAGGTTAGTTTGTTTGTAAAACTATCCAAGGCCTTCCCAAATCTGACTCTCAGTGGGAAGTATCCTCCTAAGGCTTTACTGACTAATCTGCTGTCAGTGGAACTAAATAACAAAGCATCCGAGAAAGTAGCATATTCCTGTATTTGCGTTTCTTGTGATCATGATCAGAACTCTATTCAATTCCAAATTTGGTAATCAGAATCGAAGAATATAGCACAATTCCAGATTAACAGTTGCTCCATAATTTTCTATAAAATCAGCAGCATGTCTGGGTCAAACAAAGTCTCATCATTTACATATATTATTAACACACATATGTGTCCATATAATCATATATTTTAAAAAATCATGAGGGTTAAGTATTTGCTTCCAGTTAGATTTTTTTTTTGTTTTGTTGTTGTTGTTTTGGGGTTTTTTTTTGAGGAACTGGAGACCAAGGATGGTGTTTGTGGCTTTCTCTTCTGGTTTTCCTTAACTTTACCTAAAATACTTGTTGCAAAGGTAAGGGAGGGAGGGCTAGAGAAGATTAATCAGTTGCTACATTAGGTGTCATCTCATTTGCTGCTCTTAATAACTATATTTGACAAAGAAAGGCACCGAAGCCCCACTGCTTATATAACTTGCTGAGAGTAACTCAGCTCTGAAGTGGCAGGGTCCTTCCTGCTTCCAGAGCCCTGCTCCAAGATGCCCATGCCTAAATGAATTATGTAACTAATTACATCAAGTATGCAGGGACCATTTTGTTCTAGGACATGGAAGCAATAGTAAAAAAAAAAAAAAAAAAAAAGACACTTCATTTGGTTTTGCCCAAGTTTTCTAAACATAACCTAAACTTTTAAAAGGCACAGCCATCAATGCTTTATTTCCTCTCTACTACTGAGTTAGCTGGCAAATGTGTTGAAGTGATTAGATTTAAGGGGCTTTCAATAACTTTGTATAAAAAAATTCCCTTGATTAAGAAAGCTATAAGAAAGACTTAAGTTTATTTGAATACATAAAAGAAAAGAATGAATAGCAGTTAACTAATGAGGTCAATAAATTGGTGACATGAATAATAGGTCCACCAATATGGAAGGATAACATGATGGGTGATGTGATGACAAGAGCTCTCATTAAAAGAAAAATAAAATTCAATCCATTTACTAAAATTAAATTCAAGTCTGAAAGGAAGGGAGCAGTGTTCTATGGAAAACATCCATAAAGCAAGTCACTTAAAAGCTACTTTAGGCAAGTGACACTCCACTGAAGGAGGAAATGAAAAGGTGGAATGAACCCAAAGATGCCCCCATAGCAAGTATAATGGGAGCAAAGTGCCTGCCAGCTCCAGATTGAACTTTGGAAGGGCTGCTGACGATCTTGGTCTGGGGCCCACTGCTCTGAAACTCATCCTTCTTCAAGGCTATTAGCTTCCAGTACAAAGGACTATTTCTCTTTCTTCTATTATTTCCAAGCCAGGAGGACCTCTGAACTGAAAACAAGCTGCAGAGTTAGAACTTCTATTTTTGTCATTGCTACAAATGCTGTGAAATCTCAGGTGAATCTCACAATATCTGCATATCCTCTGCTACCATCCTCTTTTCTTTTTAGGGGGTGCAGAGAGAGAGGGAGAGACAATCCTAAGCAGGCTCCATGCCCAGTACAGAGCCCGAAGCAGGGCTTGATCTCACAACCCTGAGATCATGGCCTGAGCTGAAATCAAGAGTCAGACGCTTAACCAACTTAGCCACCCAGGCTCCCCTGCTACCATCCTCTTTCAAAATTGAGATTACAACTCAGTTTTGTACAACAGGCAATTCAGATGTTATAAATTTATCCAACTATGGAGTAACAAAATGGAAATAGAACACATCAAGTTGAGAGGATTGCTATTTCAGGGGTGGACTGTGTGTGACAGGGCATGACAAGAGCACACGTGGATGTGGCCAGAGTCAGTAAGGCACATTAGTGGAAAATTCCATCATGTGTGAAAAAGAATCATTCACTTGTGATTAGATTGCTTTCGGTGATTTAGGCAAAATGTCTCTTTGGGGGCTGTGTTTTTGGAAGGTTGTATTGTTATAGGATTTTAATGTGTGTTCTCATTGAACAACATAGGAAAATGTGTAAGATGGAAGTACAGTAAGATTGAAAACACTGGGCAAACATGAGAATAATCAGTGAAGCCATACATTCTAAATGTTTCAGGTAAAATTATCTTTGGCCATATCTTAGCATGGTAAAATTGTATCACTGGATTGCAACTAAACTGTAAGTCAAAACAAAAAGGGAGGCATGAGCCAGGTGAAGAAGGGGCAGTGGGGTTTACCCAAGCAAAGTGGGCAGGGAGTACAAATGCCTGGCAGCATGAGAAGGAGAGGCACATCTTGGGATGACAGGTAGCTTAGTAGGACTCAGGTGCAAAGTGCAGAAGGGGAGGAGAAACAAGGACTGAGGCAGAGAAGAGGGAGCAGGGTCAGATTGAAGATGACTTTAGTAATATAATAATAGAGTTTTAACTTAATTCTGAGGGCTGTATGGAGTCATTGAAAGGTTCATTTCAAGCAGGGGGCTGGCATGGTCAAATTTGCATTAAGGGAAGATCCCTTTGCTAGCTCTAGGGAAAACGGCCCCAAGTGGGACAAGATAGGAGGCAGGGAGGATAGCAGGAGGCCAGCGTTTTCACAGAGGAGGTTCCTATCCCATGTGTCCCTTGATTAGGGTGGGCTGGGCATGGAAGAACTACTGTTTCTGGGTCCTTAAGCTCTGTTGATGGTGAAGAGCATTATCTGTAGATACGTCTATAACATTTTCAGATGAAGGCCCCTTTGAGTGGTTTTAAAATTTGGCTTAATTGCACTCCCAATGGGTAAGTAAATGTCAAAATGAAAATATAAATTAGCTCGCCATCTGTTTGAAATTTCTAATATTAAAAAATGGCCAATTTCCCCCACTCTTTGCAATGTAAGTGTGGTTTATTTTTATGTTTGTTTTCATTTTTATCCTTAGAGACGCTGGATTGCTTTCAATTCCAAAAACAGTGGAAGAAGCAAGAGAAGGCTTTGCCGGCTAACTTGATCACTCTGAAGGTGAGAGTCCCATTTGTGATGGCAATCACCTGAATTTGGCAATTGGGGGAACATGCCAAGAAAGCAAGTCCTCAGTGAAGAATAAGTACAGATGGGTGTCTTTCTTTGTGCTTTATACCCAGTGAGGTCTGAACCAGTCATGGAATGATCAGATTATAGTTTTCATCCACCCAAACTAGATATGTTTCAGGGTGAGTGGATGGCTGAACAAATTGGGGGGGGGGGACCACGGGGGGAGCAGAAACAAAGGGAAACTGTGGGAAAGGTGTGGAAATCAGAACGATGAGTAGGAGTTAGCCTTCCATTTAATGCTTCTGGTCAACTAATCTGATCAGCCCAAAACACTGCAGAAAAACAGTGGAAATGGCCCTTTGGTAAGACAGGAATGAGAATCTGAGTATATTTCTAGGAAAGAAGTAAGATGGATATTAGGCAGGTTGTTCTAAAATTGTATCCCTATGCTCACAAACATAATAGGCACTGTGAAAGATCAAAACAGAAGTAGAAACAGGGAAATAATCTCCTGGACTAATATGCTTCAAGAGCAGATTTTCAGAATGGGGAGGAAAAGCCCATGAAGGCACAGAGTTCAGGATTCATTTTTCTAAGTCAACAATCTACTTAGAATTTAATTGGTATTAATTCAGTACAACAGAAACAATTTCTTCATATTTTTTCTCATTATATCAATTTTCTGGCATCTACACTTTGCATCAGGACAAACAGTCTCCGACATGTAAAAGGCAGCCTTGTTTAGCTCTCCCTCTCCTCTACTGAAGGCTCTCAGTCTGACCGCCACACTCCTGTCTGCCCCATGCCCCACCATTAAGGTTCTCAGGCTGT